CGCCAGCTGCGGGACAGCCGCAGCGCATCTGGGCTGTCCCGCTGCCCGCGTGCTCCGCGGCTTTGCTCAGCGTCCCCCTGGTCTGCTGGGGGGGACTCTCCCCCCCCCCAGCATACCAGGGAGATGCGGAGCAGCTTTTCTCGCCCCAGAGGACACGGGCGGCGGGACCGCGGCTCATCAGGGCGTCCCGCCGCTCCCGTCCTCTAGGGCGAAAAAACCCCGTTCGTAACTGCGGATCCGACATAAGTCGGATCCGCGTAACTCGGGGACAGCCTGTACTGCCCTGGCCCAAACTTTCTATAGCCTGTTTGCAAAGTTCTCTCCTAAAAAAACAAAACAAACTGGTGAGAGAAGCTGAATGAATGCCCAGAAGCCCTTATTCTCTTCCTCATGCACACACTGGATACCCATAACTCCTTAATTAATTTGGATCATGCCAGGGATAGAACATGGGCCCTGGAGACTTTCCAACACCAAGGCAACAAGCATTAACTTTGATCTGGAGGGAATGTTTACAATGGAGAAGGGAGTTCAGTCACTATGGTCAAATCAAATGGCCTCTTGCCAACTCTGTTGGTAGATCTGTAGTGTGATCATTTGGCCCCCAAAACATTTAATCTCAAATAGGTCACAAACAGCTGTCAAATGGGAACGTCTTTGTTGATGACTAATTTGACAGAGGCTCAAATACAGAAGTTAGATGTGTTGCTTGCATTATAAGTCTTGGGAAACATCTTGTTCCTTTATTTTTAGAATCGTTCTACAGACTATCCAGGGCTGAGATTCTGTATCGTCCCTTGTCACCTTGGCATTTTTGAATCATGATGCCAAGTGGCTCTACCACTCTGAACATAGAGTGAAGCTCTTAACAAGCCAGGACAGTGAGAAGCTTCTTTTAAGAAGGATATTTAAAATTTACATTTTAAGCTATTCCATAACTGTGCATCTGAAAAGCAGACATCTGAGAGGGGGAGTAGGAGAAATATGCCCTTCAAAGTCTATGAATAAACATGTTCTTGAAGCTTTGTCACACCATATGCTGCCACTGGATGGGACTGTAGGTCCAAGTTATTAGAAAATGATAGCAGAATGTTCTAGTGCTAACAAGCCAAGCTTCATGAGGACAGAGCTCTTGCAGAAGTTAGCACAACCTACTGATCCAGAGACTGTGGGTGCCATGAGTGATGCCTCTTTGCAGCTCTCTCTCTGAGATCTTTGTGTTCTTTTGGCTTGATACCCACACTGAATTCAAAAGTGTCTTATTATGAAACAAGTCGTTGTCCCTACTAGAGACATTTAATTGTTGTTTCAGTATGTTCATGTCCCCAATAGAGGACTCATCAATTTTTGGCTTCAGGACCGAGTCCTACACATCGGCACACTTTACACCTAGAACTCTTCTTTATTGAAATTATCCAAAGGAGACCCCAAAATAGGCTCTCTCTTGTTCTACTCTGACTGTGTGAAAATTGAGGTCATGTCTATTCCAGGTGCTACAGAAGCACAGCTATGAACCTGTAGCACTATGTACCAGAGCTACTCAACACGCAGCCCGTTTGTTTGTGGCCTGCGATGTGGTTGAGGTTTACGTGGGCCTCCACATGTGGCCAGCGGGTGGGATCCTTTGAACATGGCCTCCTCTGGGAACACGTCAATATAATGGTCATCTGTTGAGATGCATTTTAGTAGTTAAATTCCTGGACTGTCATTGCTCATTAAAAGTGCTGTCATATGGATGGAAATTGGGTAAATATTGCATTTTATTAATATCAGACTAACTGACTTAAATGGGGACTGCGTGTTGTGTAGTCTTGCCTTAATCTTTGTATTTATGCCCATCGGTGTGAAAGAAGCTATTTGCATATATTTGCATGTACATGCAATCACACCTAAGTTGCATCCCTCGGTATCTGCTGTAAGTATCATCGTGGCCCCTTGGGCTTCCAAAGTTGAGTAGCTCTGCTATAGACCATGTCTACACTACAGCTATTGTTGTTGGAACTGTGCTGTGATAGCTGCGAAGTTTAGATTACTATATCAATGGAAGATGGATTTCCATCAGTGCAATCAATCCACCTCTCCAAAAGGTGGTACTTAGGTCAACACAGCCATTCTTCCACCGACCTAATTGCATCCACCCTGAGCCTTAAGTCAACTTTAGTGCAGCACTTTGGGTGCCAAATTTTCACACAACTGAGCAACACATCTAAGTCAATCAAAAGTTAAACTATAGCTCTGGCCATAGTATAGACACTTTGATGTAAAATATTTTCCTTAAGTTGTCACAAAAACATTCTTTTACGAGTCCCAAAGACCACTTGTAGTTGGTAACTTTCAAAGTACAGATATAAGCACATATTGCTATATTCTATAACCTTCAACAATATAGTTATAAGCACTGGCCAAAATACTTACAACAGATTCAGACTCTGAAGACACCTTCTTACCATTGTGTGACCCAGAACAGTAAGGAAAAGTAGCCACCTGGCTCCTGCCCCTCCTGCTCAGTATCCGTGCCACCCCTCTGAAGCTAACTCTCTTACCCAGTTCTGGCTGTCGAAGGGTAGGAGCCAGGCTGGCAACTGTGGGGGGCCACGGCAGACTCTTCACTTGCCCCAAGAGAGGGACCTGAGCAGTCCCGAGGCAGCTCCACAGGTCACTTGGAGCCCACCTACCTACCAGATCCCAACAGGAGGAAGTCACAGTGGACCGACCCTCCACCAGCCCATAAAAGCTGCTCCTGGCCATGTCCCCGCTCCCCTGCCTCTACACCTAGCCGAAGGCCAGTGGAGGATTGGCAACTCCAGGAAGACTCCACACAACTGCCAGTGTGGCTCTCTTCTACCAAGCTCCAGGAGGGGAAGGGAAAGGGGGAGGGGGAGAGAGAGAGAGAGAGAGAGTGTGTGTGTACGTACGTGTATGTACACACACCCCTCCGGGCCTTAGTCCGACCCCCAGTGTAGAGCCCTGCATATTCACAGATAATTTTTGCAGACTGTGGCTTGGACGCTTATATGCATCTGAAAAGCATGGTCTCATGGCCTTATTTAGCATTTGTTTATTATTATCCTTATTTGTGGTCTCCTTTTTCAGCTTCATATATTAGACTGTTACTAGGGGTTCCGCAAAATTCTTTCGCATTTAAAAGGGTTCCGTGGCCAAATAAAATTGGGAAACACCACCCTACAGAAACAAATTTCAGAAGCGGCGCCGGAAGTGCTTGTGTTGCTCAGTCAGGAAACAGTATCATGCGGCAGAGCTGACAAATTACAGTAAGCAACGTGTTAACGGCGAGCTGTAATCCACCCAGAGAATTTACAAGGAATACAAAAGAAATGGCTCAAAATAATATAAAATAAATCAATATTGCAGTAGGGCCTAGGAGTGCTTGCTATGGACCAGAAACATAATGAACTGGGTGCTGTACAAACCTGGAACAAAAGATTCCTTGGTCCAAAGAGCTTGCAACTTATGTCTTTGGGAACCGTTTGCTCAGTTCTAATAACTTACCTGTGCAATAAGTTACCCCCATCCTTTCCAAAGTACTACAGGTTGGACTTCCCTGGTCCAGCTCCTTGTGGGCCTGGCTGGTTCTGAACAAGGGGAATGCCCTGTGATTATCCTCCCAGCCCTGTGCCCCTTGCGACTGCCAAATGCTTCTGGCCTGCATCAGCCCTGCTGCCCTTGGCCTCAGGCTCAGGTTCTAGTCCCAGCCCTGCTGCTGCACCCAGTCCCCGCCCACCCCTACCGATAGCCCAGTGGGGGGC